CGGCAGCAGCAGCAGGAGTGGCGACTGTGACACCGGGCGCCGCCTGCCCGGACCAACCGCTGCCAGTCTACCTGCTGTGCCTGGTGGGGTTGTCGGGCGTTGCCGTCGGCATCCTGCTTACACTACTGTGGCAGCACTGCACGCGCGATCGGCGACAGGAGCGCTACGCACTGTCCACGGCCGAACCGGAGAAGGCCGTGCCGAGAGTCCTCTCTGGCATGATCCAGCAGCACTCGTCGCACGTCTCCCTGTGCCGTGTGGTCTCGTACGATAACGCCGCTGCCACTGATGACAACAACAACAGCAACAACAACGTGAGCGCTCACCCGGTGGGCAGTGCCACCACCACCTGCGCCACATCTTTTGCCGACGTCCTCCGTTTACAGGACGACGCTGCATCGGCGTCGGACAAGGAGAACGACATTGCGGGCCAGCTTCTGCGCCGGAGCAACAGCCGCCACAACACCATGTCCGAGATGGTGCACCTGGGACCGAACGGCGCAAGCAGCGCCAAACCCGACCGAGGTCGTCGCCGAAAATCCAGATCTCCCAGCGGTCGGTCCGTTTGCCACGGCCGCGTGGAGCAGCACGCCGTCAGCGATCCGCACGCCCTGGTAACCAGCAGTCTGGACATCGGTAATGGCGGACACAGGCGTATCCAGCGCACACAGTCCACAGACGCCACATCCTGCGCCACATCCCATCGCCGGCTCACCGATCACAAGTTCTGGCCGATCAGCGACGTGGCGGATCAGAAGATGTGCATGATCACGGACGCCGGCCGGGACCATTTGATCGGTCACCATGGCTACGCGCACGACGCCGTCAACAACTCGTCGCCAGGGCAGAGCCAGCAGCCCACTCCCGCGCACAGCCCGCCATGGTCGCAGCACCACCGCTTCTCCATGGCCGCTGATCGCGCGTCGCTGAAGAACGCGTCGAGCCGTCGTCACAGCCCGGCCTCCCTGGTCCCGCCGTCCATATCCTCCGCGTGCATCGCCGCTGGTACGTTGCTCGGTGGCATACCAAGCTTTTCGGCATCGGCAGGGACAACTCTGCCGGCTGCGCCACGATCATCGGCACTTGGCGGCGATGCAACACGCAAGCACCACTCGAACATTCCTAGCGACGACGTGTCCGATTACGAGGAAATTCCCGATGAACGGAGTCACAGCTTCAACTGGAGGTCTACCCGGAGGTCGGGACCGTCGCAGAAGTCGGCGGTCCGTCGCCGTGGCATTTTCCCCCGCAGAAAGCGCCGCAGTGCAAAGCGCCCGAAGAATACAATGCGCACTAAATCCACCTCCGTCATTGCTCGCACGCCGGCCAGAGCGGCGTGGGGCGAGGAGGACTCCCTGCGGCCCGTTCCCAACTCAATGCCGGGCGCACGGCGCCAAGTCAGACAGCCAGTCACGACAGTGCAGTACGAACAGCAGAATCGACATCGCACGCCGCAGCATCAGCACAGGCCAACCAGTTCAGGACCAAGCACTGTTGCGCAGCTGGCAGGCTGGATCGGGAGCGGCGGCGGCACGTCTTCGTTCGACTTTGAAAATCGCCATAGCAACCCGTCGTTCATGCAGGCTGACGCCGACCATGTGCAGCTGGGAGTCAGCCAGCAGCCGAGCTCTCATATACCGCCGCTCTCAGAACTGCCGACACCGGGTCCAAGCACGCCTGCAGTGGCCTTGCACGTAACTGCGGCAACTCCAATCCAGCCGCCAAAACAGGGCATGACGTCGACGCTTCAGGACGCCGCCCCTTCGGCGATGGGACAGCAGGACACTCAGCAGCCAAACTGGCACGACATGCACCAGCCCACGCGGTACAGCAGGCGGCGAGGAACAGATCCGTCTCCGTTGCCGTTTCCGGTGCCCTCGTCGTCACCGCCGCCTCGCCGACCAACAGCCATCAGCCTCTCCGGCCTGTCAGGAGACGAGGCGCTATCTCAGATCTTGGCCACGGCCGACAACCCGTCACTCTTAGCCGGGGAGATGTTCAATAGCCTGCACACCATGTTCTGCAAGCAGGACGACAAGGCCATGGTCCGCAACCCCAGCTACAGTCTCGGCGAGAATCAGTCGCCGCCGATGATCCCGGAGGACGAGATGGTGCCACCAGCCAGCACCACAGCCAGGACAACGACGGCAGTGGCGGCAGCTGCACCCAGGTCGTCAGTTCTGCTGACATCGTCCACCTCTGCGCTCCGCCCGCGTGCCAGCCTGCCGTCAGTTGCGGACCCCTCGAGCAAACTCACCGGTACCTTGTCACTGCAGGCGCTGCCTCAGGTACACTACCCACAGCAGCAGCAGCAGCAGCAGGTACACCCACAGCAACATCACCAGCAGCAGCAGCAGCAAGCTTGTCGGCTGGCCCTGCCACTCGGCCCCAGGATGAGCAGCAGTGACTGCGGCGGCGGCATCGTTGGTGCAAGCAAGGGCTACGCAACCGTCACCTCCCAGTATCCGCCGAGACCAGAGCAGGCGACACTGGCCGAGCCACCGGTCTCAAGTGGATATCTTGGGGATCGTAGCTCGACCGACAGCGGCGTTGCCTCGAGCGGAGGTCCGGCGGTCTCCACCGACTCCGTCAGCCATGCCAGGAGAGAGTATGGCGTCCGGGAGCTGGCGCGCCTGTACGAATCCTCCATGCCCACCGGTCGTGAGCTGTGCCCGGCTGTGCAGCCTCCCCCGCTGCCGCAACAGCAACAACAGCAGCAGCAGCAGCAGACGCCGCAAGGCCAGCACTCTTCTCCGACGCCGACCAGCTCGCATGGCCACGTCGCGCGACCGTCCTCGTTTCCGCAGCTGCCGCGCCCGCCGTCGTCCAACCAGTCCCCCGTGACGCCGACGAAAGCGCAGCAGCAGAAGATGTCGTCGACCTCGTCGGACCCTCTCTACCAGCGGCTGATGAGCCCCGTGCCCACGGCGGCGAGCATGATAAGTCCGGTGGCCGCCGCCACGCCATTGCCAATGCAGCGTATGGCACTGGGCAGCAGCACGGTGTTCCTCAACGGCTCGAATCCGGCAGCGCCGGCCACGGCAGCTGCAGCAGCACCAGCTCCGTGCGGTCGCAGTTCAAACGAGTCCACGTCCTCGGTGTTCTACACGCGACCCTCGCACGGAGGCGGTGGCGGAGGGGCCGGAGCCGCCGCGGCAGGAATCTCGCGCTTCCAGTTCAACCGCACGCCGCAGAAGGTCGACTCGTCCTGCACCGCCATCACGGAGCGCCGTGAAGTGCAGCGCAACAACAACGCGAACAACACGCCGAGGTCGGCCACCCCGACAACGATGCGTCCGTCTGGTGAGCCATGCGATCTCTTCAGCACACCGTACTATGGCTTATAGTTGGTAGTATTGCCGGGGGCAAGCGACCTGTTCAGTGTACCACACTAAGGCCTATAGCCTGTATGGCAAGTCATGTGACCTCTCAGTATACCATATTATGGCTTATAGGCAGCATTGGCGGAGTCATGTGACCTCTTCAGCACACCGTACGAAGGCCTATAGCCCGTACGGCAAGTCATGTGACCTCTTCAGCACATCGTACTATGGCTTATAGCCTGTAAGGCAAGCCATCACGTGACCTCTCAGCACACCGTACTATGGCCTATAGGCAGCAGCATTGGAGGGCAGGTAAGAATGAGTCAGAGTGCGCACTGCTCAGGGAAGGCTGATGGCTGACACGTGTTCGAGCAGCTCGGGACCAGAGATTTGTGAAGCGTACGATATCCACGCAGCATCACAAGCTGTGCTAACGTATCCAGGGGGTATGCATTCTCGACAACCATGCCACCGAGACCAGCACACTGGATACCGAATAGCGGCTGGGGGAAATGTTGTCGTCAGTGTGGACAGTGGCAATGATCGCAACGCGTGACGAGGCTCCCGCATGCTTCGGACTCGACCGCAAACAAAACTACCGCCAGCGCGGTGGCGTTGTGAGCTCGATCACGGGTTTAGGGGTCGCCGCTCTTACGATGTGCATCGGGCTGGGGCAGCTGCCTGGCGAGCAAAGCGCGCACGCCACAATCTGAGAATGGCAGCATAGTGTCTGCACTGCACATTGTAACTACTCGTGCTGCTGTTATACTTACAACACCATGCGCACAAACAAACATACTCTCACATAGGATACTGTACACATACACACGGGCATGTATAAAATCATGCACTCATACGCTAACGGCCTAGAAAGGACATCAACGCTTGATTTTCTGCCGAAATGATGCAGCTGACATACTGCAGTTTTCACGCCTTGCCAAATTCTCCGATGTTTCAGACTTTGCTGCTTTCGACTCTGTTATCACGTACCAAAACTCTCCCTCCTGCGCTTGTGCCGCGGATTTACACACATGCATGTCTGCTCGCTGCTATTCTTCTTGTTCAGCAAGCCATTGCCGTTTTTACTCCCACGCCCGCCCTTGACCGTAGCATGTCTTCAAGCATATTCTTTAGTTATTGTTTTTTTTTGTTCCATGGCATCACGCTCTGTCATTTAACTTGCCTCATTTTATAAGAATTACGTAACCCAGTACAATGCCCACAGAGTCTCTCTGTCCACTGTTTCATGACGTGGCGAAGTATAATTCTAATTTTGTTATGTGGAATGATAAAAGATTCCAATCAGGCCTGGATTTGTCTTGACACACACACACACATGCACACACCTTTTGACGCCCTTCGCCGGAGGCGATGCTACAGCAGAAGCCATAGCAACTTGTGCTGGGATTGCACCATTGGACAGCTTGCAAGGCTGAAGAATTGACCACCACTATTCAGCCTGGTCTACACCACACAACTATGAAGTGGCTTTTTCTGGCCAGTGAATCCCTACACACACACACACACACACACACACACACACGTCAGATGGTGTGGCCGCACACACACACACACACACACACCACACACACACACCACACACAGACAAACGGTGCATTCGGGCAAGCTCAAGGGCTTCTTGGCAAGCAGAACGCAACACAGCGTACGACGAAAGAATCAATTCAAGTTTCTTTAAAAACAATTCTAGCGATGAGCCGAATCTGTCAGTTCGAAAAACAAGATCTGGCATGAATAGGATTAAAAAAGGCACACAACCTCTGTGTGATGGCGGGAAACAACTAAGAGAGTTCTAAAAATGGAGCAAAACTCAGGGCACCCACCAGGAGGAAGCAAAGTCGTCGAGTTACCTGGTGTCGCAAACATCTGGTCTGTGGCAGCGGCGCTTGCCATACACAGCATAGCTAGCTACGCCGACGCAAGCCTTGATGGAGTTGTGCCTGCCTCAGCCGTCGCACGGTGGACTGCAGACGGTCGCTGAGCAACGCCCGCCATTCTACCGTGGGTGCGGAAGTAGTATGTGTCAAGCCGGTTATGTGGTGGGTACACGCCCCGCCCCCCCCCCCCCAAAGGGGTACTATCAATAAGACCTCTTTTTGGGCAGGGACATGCCCCACCCCAAATGGGGTACTATCAATGATACCCCATTTTTGGGAGCAGTGACATGCGCCTACCACAGAACCGGCTCTACACAGACTACTTGCGGAGCAGACACAGATGCTGCCGCCTTGGCCGGCAAGCAACGCACACCGCACCACTCGCACGGTGTGTACCACTGAGCGGTGTCCAACAACAGCCTTCCAGGAGCAGAGCACAGTGACAGTGGAGTAGAGTGTACGTAATGCTGCGCTATGATCTCCAGTAGAAGATGACAGTGGTCAGTGAACTCCGTCACAAGTTCAACATGTGCAGAGATCGCAACACAATGAGCTCAAGGCCGAAGCATGAACATTACCGTCGTCATCGTCATCATTTTCACGAGGGAAGTCACGACATCATCATCATTTTCACTAGGGAAGTCATGACGTCATCATCATGTTCACGAGGGAAGTCATGACGTCATCATCATTTTCATGAGGGAAGTCATGACGTCATCATCATTTTCATGAGGGAACTCACAACATCATCATCATTTTCACGCGATAAGTCTCGACATCATCATCACTCCTTCCAGAAGTTGGGGTTGAGCTGCAGCTTGCGCATGAAGTTCTCGAACCACTTCTGCAGCGCGGACGCGGGCACAAAGCTCTCGCCGGGCTGCGGCGTCATTTCGGCCTGCGTAAGCGCAAACGACGTCATGTAGTTGTAGCAGCTCTCGACACACTTCCGCGGGAACACCGTCATGGTGTCGGCCGTGCTCACCTGGGCACCGGGCAGCGGTGTCTCCTGCTGGATCTGCAGTAGCGGCGTCACAACGATGCCCACCTGCACGACGGGCGTTGCCAGGGCGGCGGCGGTGGCCGGCGTTGGGAAAGCGGCGCCAAACGGGTTGCTGATCCCCTCGGACGGCTTGACGGGGGTTACCTGAAACAGCAACAACGATGACGACGACAAGAACAACAAGAACAACAACAATTCTTATTGTTAGTTATTGGCGATGGTGCCATCGTGAGAATAAAGAATTCAAAAACAATAACAACAACAACGACAACAGCAGCAGCAACAACAACAACCAACAACAACAACATCTCTTAGGGGCCGTCCGTAAATATCGATGTTTTTTTAGAGACGATATTTGTTCCTATCTCCCCAGACTCTCCCCCCTAATACGAACATACATACATTTATGCAGTGGACCGATATTTTTTATATTGAACGGCTTGTGTGTACAGCTACAGTCAAACCTCGTTAGGACGAACTTCAAGGGACCGAACAAATTTGTTTGTCTTATCGGGAGTTCTTCTTATCCAGATCTGACGAAAAATCGATATGCATATCAGATGGATTGTATTTACGTGAAGGTGCATGCTGTGGTACATGGGAAGCATGTTATTCTTAGCATAAGCCAGAAACAGGTACATGTAAGTACAATGACAAAGTGCAATGAATCACGACTGTGTCGAAAGTTCGTACAACGCACTGATTATTTTGTTCAAAACACGCTTGAAAACAATTTGCACTGTACGTACAATATGACCTCGACGAAAAAAAGAAGAAAAAAGGCAGCCAGCCCACGCGCACGCTTGTGGACCGAAAGTTCGTACTACATGTACATGATCACACTGACTTTGTTCAAATCACACTTGAAAAAAGTTCGTCTTCACGAAAGTTCACTGTACAGAAGTTCGTCGTAAACGAATAATTTTGACTTGAATTGATGCCTGGCCAACCATAGGATTGGCCTTAGTTCGTACTAATGGAAAGTTCGCCTTATCAGTGTTCGTCCTAACAAGGTTTGACTGTACTGTAAAAGCAGAAATTTTCGGTAACTTCGGTGCCGACAATTTCTACCGAAAATAAAACGCACCGAAATTTTCGGTACAACCGATACTGTATACATGTAGTACTAGCACACTTGCCTGGAAAACGGGTTTTACCGAAAATTTCCCTCCACCGAACTGCCGATTTTGGAGAATACCGAAAATATTACAAAATTTCTGCTTTTACAGTAGGTACATAATACGTGCTGCAGTACTACAGTGCATTTCAAAACTATAGACGCGTAGGGTTTTTGAAATATTTCAAATTTGCCTGGAACTTTTTGAGAATAGTTTTCGGAATATTGCTCAGGATCGCTCCACAATTGCTCTCATATAGTTTCTAAAGGATTGGATAACAGACGCCCAATTTGGAAAAATTTATGCACAAAGTGATCACAGATTTTATGTGGTATAGATGCTGGCATAACGGTTTTTGCCTAGGTACGCGTCTATAGTTTTGAAATGGACTGTAGTAGTAGTACAAGTCACACGGTTCAAGTGCCTGCATGCTGCATGGTGCACGAGCCGCGACAAGCAAGTACAAGGTGCATACCTAAAAATAGCGTATGTGAAGATCGATATTTTTTTCCGCGAAAAACAACGAACAGCGTCAAAAAACCCTCCCCCCCCCCCCCATACGAACGAATATCGTCTCTAAAAAAAACATCGATATTTACGGACGGCCCCTTATTGGCCACAGGCCATCGTGAGAATAAAGATTCGAAGCAAGAACAACAACCACGACAAGAACAAGAACAACAACGTGAGAATAAAGATTCGAAACAGAAACAAAACCAACACAACAAACACAAGTAAGGCAACAGACGCACACTTCGCTTCTTAACTTCCACGGTTGCCCCATAACGCCTTTTACAAATCGTGTTCAAAAGTGAAAGAAAGCAAACATTCCGCCGTGGGTGAACCCATCACAGCTCGAGGTAGGAGTTGCACACTCTTGGTTATCTGGTTATGTACTCTTGCCCATAGGTACTGTAGTCTGCTCAGTGATGGGTGTTGTGTCACGGTAGCTCCAAGCTCACGCTGGAACTCACCCTGAAGAGAGCACCGGGCGTGTAGTTGGCGATGTGCCCGAGGTACGGTGATCATCGTGGCATTACTCTTTATCGCTATCGCTCGATTCTGGACCACTTCGGTGACTCAGATGATGTTCTGTGATCATTGTGGCATTGGACTGTATCGCTATTCTCAAACACAGTACTGTAAAATCGGAAAGTTTAACGACCAAAAGGTTTATGTTTTTGTAATTTTTGGCATGATAACGTGCAGAAATGCTACCTGGCCACCCATCTGTATACACATCTTTACACAGACATCTCAAACCGGGTCCGCGATTACGTTTCTTCAGCTAACGAAAACAATCGGTCGCTAAAACGCTAGACTTTGTGACTCGTTAGACTTTCCGGTTCTACAGTACGCTCCAAGCTCGCGCTGGAACTTTCCATACTTCACCCATTATAAGTCACACTCAATTGTAAGTCGCACCCCCCCCCCCCCCCCCCATTTCCAGGTCCATGTCATTGTCGTTTTGATACATTCACTTCAGTAGTAAGTCATGCTCGATTGTAAGTCGCACCCCCTTTGTTGGCCATGAAGTTAAGTGTAAAAAGGTGCAACTCATATTCGGGCAAATACGGTACCTTGAATATGGCGCTGGGCTTGTCATTGGCAATATGCCCGAGGTACTGCCAGGCCACACCGCGGCCACCACCGCCGTCCCCGCAGCTCTCCGGCCAGCCCAGGTAGATGGAGCCACCGAAGCCGTCGCCGAACGGCACCTCGCCGGTCATGAAGATCACAATGTGACGAACACCGTCCGGCTGCTCCAGCGCAAACAGGAACTGGTCGTCGGACACCTGCTGCGGGCCGCCTTGCACCTGGAACAGAAACGGCAGCAGCCAGGACAACACACACACACACACACACACACACACACACACACACACACACACACTTGCTAACTTACACCTGCCCATCGCTGAAGCGATGATAGCGAACAAGCTATGTTAGACATAGCAACGTGTGCTGGGACTACATCATTCAACAGCCTGCAAGGCTGCCGAATTGGCCGTCACTAATTTTAGCCTGGTTTACACCACACCCGCTGATACAGTACACACGTGCACACACACGTACACATACACACATAACGACTTGGACCAGGAACAAGACACGGAATAACAGGAGCGGTGGAAGCAGTTTTAGATTGGTCCGGCCATACCAGGGTCGGTCATACTTTGTGCATGATTCCTGCCCCCCCCCCCCCCTTTTTACACACACACCCTTTTCTTTGCCGGAAAGGGATATGTACAAAAAAAATTCACGGTTCGCGTGAGACTCGGCTGGAAGCCGGGCTTTCCGCATCCGTAGGAACGCCACCACCCTTCAAGGATCAAGGTGCAGATACAGCTCCTAAAGCGGTGGGAGGTGAGTAGATCAGCTCACCAGCAGATATGTACAATGTAGTGTGCAATGTTTGTCGCAGCATTGTCTCTATCCGCATTCTCTCTCTCTCTCTCTCTCTCTCTCTCTCTCTCTCTCTCTCTCTCTCTCTCTCTCATCTGCATTATATGCGCCTGCTCGTTGTAAATTAACCAGTCCCCGTCTTGTCCCGCAAAGGACTCCTGTGTGGCTTGCAGGCCCAACACATTAATGGTGGGTACACATAACGGCTCAGCAGTTAACACCCCCGTTGCACGTTGGTGGCCAAAGAGTTGGTCCGGCCATGGCCTGACCAACCGATGTGCATGGCGCCACCCGGGCTTCAGAGATCAACTGCTTTCTGTATGCGACGGGCCGCTTCCAAGCGCAGCCGTGAACCCCGGGATTGCCCTGCAATTCAACATTTCTCCGGGAAACTGTTGAGGGGCACGCCATCATTTTCAAGTTGTGTACACACACAAAGTACAGTACATGTACAGTACAGACGTACTCACCCCCAATTGCTGCTTTTCACAAATTCATTTCCGGAGAAACGTAATCAACGGTTCGGTCATGAAATAGCCGTAATGTGGACGTTGAATACATTTAGTGTTATTTCTCTAAGTTAGATTTTCTATAATAGTTCAATTTTGTTTTCAGCGTCCTTTAGTACAACGAAGATTCCTTTTTTCTCTACACAATTTCTTCACATTTTCATCGTTTTATTGAATATTATTCGAAAGGAAATTTGTGAGAATATGAGTGTGAGTCAGTGTTCCACAAATCAACTCACCAATCGTCCAGGAACAATGAGGCCAAACATCGTGAATAAGGCGTTGGCGGAAATCGATATTCAGTCTCAAAGGAAATACTGTACCAGACTGTACTCAAATTCCTGGGGCTGCAATCTCTCTATCGGACACGAGCTCTGATATTGGAGGAATACACCTGACCATGTGCTGTCCAGACTACAGCATCGTAGGTCTACTCGTAGCGCGTTCACTAGAGAATTCCATCACGAGCACAGCCGAGCGTTCACAGTTTCAGACAACGAGAGGCGTGGGCAGGTGTGAGCACTTCTGTCGTTCCAAAAAACTGTAATCAAATTCACACTTTTCCAACAGACACACGAGCTGCTGCTCTGCTCCTACAAATACTACGAGGTGAACTGCTGGCGGCCAAGATTAGAATGATGCAGTACGGCAAGCAGCCTGAAGTTTTGTAGCTTGACCACGCCAAACAATCCGCAATGGAGACTGCCACAGTCTGCTGTGAGTAGATCAAGATTCTGACAAGAAGGATGAAGAAGTTAGTTCAAAAAATTAATGATGTCGAAATAGTCAAACGACCTTTCGACCGGACAGTTCCTGTTTTTTCCTGCTTTCGTTGCTATGGCGAAATATCGCCAGGGCGCTAGGGCGGCACCGGGAAGGCCGCGTTACGTAAGACGTACGGGATTGACGTCATGCCCGCGCGGATTATGTTCAAACTTCAAACTCCACGTTGCACTTTTGTCTTTGAGCAAGAAGAGAAAATAATACTAGTACATGTAATTCCCAAACTCTGCCAAAAAATGATCTGATGGTGTGGTGTGGATGTGATATCCTTACCTGCGTATAAGGTTTACTTTGTTTTAGATCCATCTTGCATTCCACAATTCACCGTAGTCGGAGGGTAATTTCCGCAGCACGATAATGTCCAAGCCGTTTGGAGATGTGTTTCGTTGGCCCTGCTCTGTGTGGGTGGAAAGTCAGCGCAAATGGTGCATCTGCAAATTGTACCTGTTCAAGGACAAGCTGGCCATCGCGCTGTGCAAGGTCTGGGACGTGGAGGCCGACCCGGACATGCTGACGATCTACGTGAGCGTAGATCTGACGGCGCTGCTTGACGCTCGCCTCTCGTACACCTGGACTGGCTATAAGACGATGGTGTTGACGGGCAACCCGCCGCCCAGTGATGGTCAACCGTCGGCGATGAGCTGGACCGGCGTGGGTGCCCGCGAGTGCCTGGCCAATGGCAACGAGCTGTGGCTGTCGTATTTGAAGAGCGCCTCGTCTGCGCTGAACGCCATTCAGATGTTTCGACGCGATTGCCTCATCTCGTTCTGTCGGCAAACACAGGCACACTCTTCTGCTAGCACGGCAGCATCACAGCAACCACAACAACAGCAGCAGCAAGATGACGACTCCAGTGCCGTGCAGCAGAAGATGATAGAGCTGCAGGAGCTGGCCGCGGACAGCGAACGCACGCTGGGCGCAGCGGCGGTGGAGCTGGACGCCCAGCGCGAGTCCCTGGAGCGCAGCCACGCCAAACTGAAGGGCATGGGCGAGCACCTGAAGGTCGCCGAGCGCCTCCTCGGGCAGGTGACGTCGTTCTTCCCGGCGATGAGGTCGTCGTCGAAGCACGCCGCCGACGTCCATCGCACGGGCGCAGGCGCCGCGTCGACGCACTGCGTACTGTACACGACCGAAGGCAACTCGCGCATGCTAACCGGTCGCATCGGGCTGTACCCGCACGCGAGCTCTGGCCAGGCAACATCCGGTGGCGACAGTAGCAGCAAAGTGAACGTTGTGCTGCAGAGTTCCGCCGGCACGGTTCTGGACAGCGACAACGTAATGTTGATCGCCGTTGACGCCCACCAGGCGAACCTGATCAGCACCGGCGCTGACGGAAAACAGACGACGATCGCGCTGTGCGCGCCGCGCATCACCGACATCTTCCAGGTGGCGATTCCGGTGTCGTCGTCGGCAACTGCGTCGACGGTGCCCGGATCGTCGCCGCCCGCCGTCGCCCACGGCAACCCGGCGACAACGGCCGCCGAAGGGGATTCCCCGCTGGGAGCCGTGTCGGAGAGTCTCCAGCGTATGAAGGTGATGGCGCTGCAGGCGGGCGATGAGCTCCAGGGGCAGAACAGGTTGCTGGATGAGATGAATGGCGACGTGGATAAGGTCAGTACGCAGGTGGTCAGCATGACGAAGAAGACAGCCGTTGCCGTGTGAGCAAGCTGCTGACTGCTACTGTACTACTGGTTTGGCTCTGGACCTGGCGCGCGTGACATCTCTGTGTCTCTGCCGCTATGAAGCGGGCGCACACACCCACGCGCGCACACACACACACACACACACACACACACACACACACACACACACACACACACACCTGTACAAGCCTGCTTTCCTCCGGTCTCTCGTTCACTCCCCGGCGTCGCTAGTACACTATTATCGGCGCACGCTAACGGACGCTGAATGTCTATTGCAAGCCTGCAATGGCACCTGCAAACAATGTACCAGTGGGCGATAGTATGTAGCCATCGCAGCACAGTCTGTTCCAGTAGCCCCTTGAATATTACCATGGCGACACTGGCCCGGTGTTGCCGTGGTGTGTATCCATAGCAACCCTATTCGGGTAGGCCATTGGACATTATCATGGCACCGCTGTACTAGTAGTAGTAGGCCATAGGCATAGTAGTACTGTGTGTACATGAAACTCTGTGTGTGCACCAGTGGCAGTGGGCCATACTGTACTGTAATGTCTGTAGCTCTGTACATGTACCCGTGGCCCATAGACAACTGTCTATCTCTACCCCGTGGGCCATAGACAACTGTCTATCTCTACCAGTGGGCCATGCTATAGATAGGATGTATTGTTGTGGTCACTGGCTCAGTGCGCAGCATTATTATGTAGCTGGTGCGGGACTTTCCCTGGGCACATGTGTACACAGTCATGTCCAGTAACGCAGTCCCCCCCCATTCTGACCCTCCCATATGTAGTACAGATACTCAGCCGAGTCCATAATACCTGGACAGTATAGATACCCTTGCTTTATCCCTCACTGAAAGTCCATTCACTGAGCCGGATCACTTTTTAACGTCATCCTTGCCATATTTTCTTGCGTACTTTTTCCCCACAACTCTTTTTTACTCTCTTAAGTCTATTTTCTTTTATCCATCCTCTTTGCTGGCTAGATTTACCGGGTGTTAGCGGTCGTCGTGAGTTCCCTCGGGGAGCGAACACGACACTTTACTTTTTCTGCGGGCCAGTGCTGCTTTCTTGTTTGTGGGCGCTGCCTGTATGTCCCGTGTTGTACACTGTCTCAGAGAAGAGACCGGCGTGACCAGTGACGTTCTACCCCTGATGCTGCTGCTGCTGCTGCTGCTGTTCATTATGTTAGCTTTGTGTGCGTTTGCTGCTTCTCCGTGCATGCTAGCTGTTGTTCCTGTTGAGCGTGAGCGATGTCACTGATGTGTGTGACTTGTTTGCTGCTGTGCCAGTGCACTATGCTTTGTACAGAGATGTGTCTTATATGATTATAATTATAAGTTCAAGTATGCTTTCAAGATATTGCTGCTATGAGGATTCGATATTGCTTCTACCTTCGTTTTGTGTGCTCTTTGTCCATCTCCGGACGCTATGCACTTCAGGTACATTGTGAGTGGTGTGTGCAATGGGCACCTTGCAATGTCTTCCTTCCAGCTGCGGCTCTTGTTTTAGTTGCATAGCGTCTGTGCGTTACTAGTATCTTCCAATGAGGTTGCCGATCCAAGTGTGGAATCCGAATGGCAACCGCTCAAACATGAGTACGTGTACATAACTGTTCATTCACTGAGGACTCTCCGAGTATCCGGACTACAGTGCTAGGACGGCAGAGTTTCACACTGTGTGTCAAGCAGCGGGTCTATGCAACTCCCCGGCCGGCTGCTGCCAAGTGTGACTCCAAAGAAATGCAACTGCAATGCAACCTGTATCCCTGATGAGAGCCCTCCTGGGTGGAATTTTGGACAAGTTACTGTACGAGCAGTGTAGCCAAGGACTGTTTGTGTGCCCAGTGCAAGTTGGGTGTACTGAAAATAATTATGACAGGGCTACAATGGAGCTTCAAAGTTTTAAAAAATGCAACTGATAAGGAAAATCTTAAAAAGAAATGATGATTATCAGCTCATAAGAAAGGCTCTTCGTAATCATGGGGAAGTTATCAGCGGCAGCTCAGACCATCATTTTGGATTATGCCTGAACTTGTATCTACAAAAAATGGCTGCAGTGGAAATAGGTCGAAATCATGTGTGAAATCTTGGATCACGAAAATTGAAAGTCCAAACATGAGCCGGGCCCTCGGTGCACATTCCCAGCCACGACATTGCCCACGCATACACACTCCCTCACACACAAAGACATAATACAGCCCCGCTCACTCTGGTAAGCTAGCGTGCACTGTCTCACACAGTTCGGTTCGGCCGAAACCCATGGAAGTCAGTCAATATTGCTGGACCGGTACGTTCAATCAATGGAATGATAAAGTTAAGCGCTCATAGCGACCCTAGAGGTGGCAGTCACGCATTCGAATCACTATCGTCGGAGAGGGAGGGTGTCCTCTACCCCTGCACTCTGTATATCACCGGCAAGGATTTGACACACACACGGACACACACACACACACACACACACACACACACACACACACACACACACACCTCTAGTCAATACTTCCCGTGTGGAAAACATGGTTGTCCGGGTCGGCGCCCATTACCACCCCGGCAGTACTCTCCAGAGCTGGCTTCTGTGCAGGGCTGGGTATGTCCACGACAGGAGTAGATAAATAATGACTACTACACTGTCTGGCCAGAAGATCTAGAGCATAGACGGAGGACAAGACGAAAAACACACCAACAGGAGGATTATGTACATGCAGAAGTACAGTCAGACCTCACTTGTCCGGTCCTCTTTTATCCGGATCTCTCGTCATCCGGAAGAAAATCTTTGGTTAGCGATTTACAGCATATGTCATGCATACATGGCTATTACAGTATGTGTGGTCGATTATCCGGTTCCCTCGCCTATCCGGATATTTTTTGTGGACAACGGATGCGTGCGGTTTTAATAGCGAGGTCTGACTGTACTTGTAAAGGCAAAGGTATAAACGACTTGGGGGGGGGGTATACGTCTGTGTGGACCACAGTCAATTCTAACTGTAGGCTGGGGAGGCATCAAGACCTATTGCTTCACCTGGCTGGACATAGCTAGTGGGGCCAGTGCTCATCATCAGTCCCATTCCCAACCGAAGTCAGGTATCAAATCAGTCTGAGTGGATCTGTAGGCCCGGGGGGGGGGGGGGGATAAGCTTCATGCTTGCTAGACAGAGGAATGGTGGATGCTTGGTAGGAGACCAAGCGTCCACTGTTCCTCTTTCTTTCTTTCTACTTTGTGGAAAGATGCGCCTTGTAAAGGGATGGGTCACTCCATGAACAGCGGAGCGCACAACTGGCTTATCTCCGGAGCTAATACAGCCAATCTCGGCTTAAAAACTGGGGCGTTGGGAGTTACTCAACGGCCATTTTGGCATGCAACCCGCGTTGCATGACAGCCAGCTGTTTTTTCAAAGGTTTGCCTTGTATTCCGTCAGTCACTCACTTGACACTCATGACATAGGTCCACACTATACAGTATCGCAATATCAGTTATACACCTACCCGCCAGCAGATCGGCGGAGTCCTGCCACTTCAGGTCGCGCAGTATGCCGACCAGCGTGCGCTTGCTGGCCGCCTCCGACCCGTTCTCGTCCAGCCAGGACTGCATGAGGCGGTAGATACGCTCGACCATGCGCCCGTAGCTCGCCTCCAGCGACTCCACCTCGGCAAAGGTGAGGCCGAGCTCGTAGGCCAGTAGCACCCAGTCGTCACCGTGGCGACTGACGATGTGCTGCGCCAGGCGGTGTATCATCCCCAGACGAATCTCTGTGCACGCGAGCAGAGTGGCGGGGCATCAACACACAGGGAGGAGGTGTGGGACAGTTATTCATGCTGGTAACCTCATTAAGAAGAACACTGATAAGACAAATTTTCGCTTTTGAAGGACACATATTCCTAACTCTTTTGGATAAATCACTGTGTATTCATTGGGTACGAGATATTGATGAGAAGAACTCCCGTTATCATGAACAAATACCATTGGTCCCTTGGTGTTTGTCCTAAAGAGGTTTGACTGTGCTTGTCTCTCTGCATAGAATAATATACAGTACTGCATAGCCGAGCTTCTGCTCAGGCGTTTATTCGACTGTATGTACTTGCCTGTAGAGTGCCTGGATATGGGAGGTGCCTGGATACGGGAGGTGCCTGGATACGGGAGGTGCGTGGATACGGGAGGTGCGTGGATACGGGAGGTGCGTGGATACGGGAGGTGCGTGGATACGGGAGGTGCGTGGATACGGGAGGTGCCTGGATACGGGAGGTGCCTGGATACGGGAGGTGCCTGGATACGGGAGGTGCCTGGATACGGGAGGTGCCTGGATACGGGAGGTGCCTGGGTATCGGAGGTGCCTGGATACGGGAGGTGCCTGGCTACGGGAGGTGCCTGGATAACGGAGGTGCCTGGGTATCGGAGGTGCCTGTATGCGGGAGGTGCCTGGATAAGAGAGGTCCTGTTGAACATGTGATACTGCAACTCACATCTACTTAATGTACTGTGCATGTAACATGTCCATTGAGCTGTTGGCCGGATTTGACCGGATTTGACCGGATTTGACCGGATTTGACCGGATTTGACCGGATTTCATTCAGCAGTACTGTTAGTCTACTAATTTTCGGCCCGTTCAAATTTCGGCCTCCCGGGGCTAAAACACATTTCGGCTGCACTAAACTTTCGGTTTGCACTGCTGCTGCCTGTATACACTGTCACACTGAACCTTGCAAAACAAATTTCGGACCAAATATGACCAGGCCGAAAATAGCCGAAAATAAATGTGCGCCGAAAATTTGTTGACTTACAATACATCAGAATTAGACACACACTCTTCTTGTTCCAACACTCACGTTTAGAAGGCACCCGGTCCAGCGTCGGCCCAGTACTGCTCGCCACTGCCACATGCCCAGCACTGCTGCTCAGGTATATCGGAGAGTCGACCATGCTGCTGCAGCTGCCGCTGCTGTGGCTGCGGTTGTAGCCGCCGGAGCCGGTCGTCGGGGGCAACGGCGGCAGAGGCGGCGGTGGCACTGCGCACGTCGGCGGCGACGACAAAGATTTCGCCGTGGCAGCGCCTGCCGGTGCTGCCGTCATCGTTGCCGTGGCAGCCTGGCCAGGGATCGGGTTATGGCGCTGCACAGCACCCGGTGTATCCAGGGATAGCGACAAGGAGCTGGGGTCGGGTCTTGATGATGCTGGAAAGCAGAACATTTTATACATAGAAAAGGGAGCATCAACACTTTTCATTAGTTGAGGGACACTTTTATCACTTTGTCGCCGACTCGCCTCGTAGCAGTTCTATTGAAATGTGTAGCGGCATCAGGCATGCTACGGTCCCTACGGTATTGATCGCACCACTCTTTGACCCAGCTACCTCGTGAAGCAATAACATGCCCTCGATTTGGGCTCTGAATTTTCAATCTTTCAGAGGAGTTTGATCTTTGTTATGCAGCGCTGTAGTATTTCTCTTCTTCCGTTAGTTCTTTCTCTACTGTCTGTCAGCTCTTACTGTCATCCAGCGCTGGGTGCAAGCACCCCCTGGCAGATGCATGTATATGGAGTCGCACTTGTACTTTCAACCTCTTCACATTTCTCTTTTTGGCAATGCGTGTCCTGAACTTCTCCGCAACGGTTTCCGCTGATCCCACATATGGGGTTCTCACGCACCGTACGGCGCAGTACGGAATTTTGCACTCGTTTCTTTTCTTGTATCCTTTTTTGGTTTTCTTGCACCTTTTCAGGACTGTTCCTTTGAGCAAGATATATCCTTCTCTGGGTGGCTTTCTTGTTCATGGTAGAGTTTTTCTTCGGTGCTCTTAGAGTTTGCTTCGTCTTTCTGGCATTGTTATCAAGTTACACTATCGTCTTACACAAGGCACGATCTTGGAGTGTTTTTGGAGTGTTGGCGATTTTATATGTGGCAATACGCCCAGTGAGAAGGCAGATAATGCCCGTGCTTATGGTGAAGTAAATACAGCTAAACAAACAAACAGCACACGCGCATGCACACACGTACGTACGCACGCAAGCACAGACACATACACACACACACACACACACACACACACACACACACACACACACACACACACACACACACACATGCACGCACGCACGCACACACACACACACACACACACACACACACACACACGCCCAAAGAGAGAAAATCAAACTATTCAGCCGTAACTACCTTTCACACAGTAAGCTACCGTATGTGCTGCCTGATGGTCGCTTATACGCGAAATTGAGTTACAGCCGAGCAGGTGTTTGATTACTCCTTTTTTTCTTTCTTTTTTTAAATCCGTGGAAGAGTTCTTGCGGAACTGGACTATTGCAATTAAAACAGAATGGCTCATGTGACTTACGTGAGTGGCCATCATCCGGTTCTAGTGAGGTGGTCCATGCAGCCACCTCGCCCTGTCTGTACGCGTTCTCAAACTCTGCACATCGGCCGGGAGAAGATAGAACAGTGCTACGGATTATCGTATGTGTGTGTGTGTGCACCCTTCTATACTCAAACGTCTCTTATCCGGACGCCTCAGATACGGGCACGTCTCTCTACCGGGCATTTTCAGCTTGAGATCCTATGGCAAAAAATGCTTCAAATTTGGGGGTTGAACTTTTTTTCGTATGCACAAGTGCTTATTCGCTGTGTAATCCACACATTTTATCAATGGATTCGTCTTGTAACCTGAACATGTGCAATAGGTGCCAAATAATGTCCTTAAAATACCGATATCATTCATGGTAGATGAGTTATCCTGAGGTACGGGCAAATCTGAGATACGGGGAGTGCCCAGTCCCAAGGTGCCCGGATAAGAGACGTCCGAGCGTATAAGCAAAAATACCCATGAAACAGTATTCGCGTATGAAAGAGAGTGGGGTCCGTTTGGAATATGTTGTGGCTCAAAGCTTCATGTCGGCGATATGGTTGCGAGTCAGCAGCTGTAGCCCCTATCAGACCAGTGCGACTACAATGTAGTTTCTCACCTTGAGACGTGTGGACGTTGACAAAGCTGGTGGGAATGGTGACAAACGAGCTGGACTTGCTGCAGGAGTCAGCCTCGGCCTCGATGACCGACCACTCGCGCTGATCGATGTAAAACGACGGCGTGCTGTCGGGCCGCGACGGTACTCGCTCCGAACTGCGCCCATCACCCGGGGTGCACGTCAGCTCAAGATATGCAGGCTGTTGGTGTTGGTGTTGGTGGTGGTGGTGTGCGGGTTGAAACCCTCCAGGGTTGTTCCGCACGCTGGCGTTGGCAGCCGACACCACCGCCGCCGTGGAGTTCTGGAAGCTGCGGAAACGCATCAGCTGCGAAGGGAGCACGTAGGCGCCGGACGCCCCGGTGCTATGACGGCGACGCTCGCGCTGCCGTTCGCCGTTGCCGTGGGCGCTCGGCACTCCGGCTGGGGCCCGTGGCGGAGGAGCTGGGGCGGCGGTGGCGGTGGCGTTGCTGCTCGTGTCGATCTCGACGTCGACGAAGCCCACTTCAAACACTTCCGGCGTGCGTCGTTCGTGCGATAGCGATGCCGACGTCGGCGGTGGGGTGTACTGAACGGGGGAGAAGCCGTCGATGTTGTTGTAAATCTGCAGCGAGCCCACGCTTTGCTGAGTGGACGGTAGCGCTGGCGTACCGGCGGACGTGCGGGGCTGTGTAGCGTGCAACGGCGGTGCACCACCGGCGGCGGGAATGGGGCGAGGATGCGAGCACTGCGACATGTTCAGCGCCATCATTCCATTGCCACCGGTGCCCGCCTGGACGTGCGGTGAGCCCAGGGGACTTCCCCCATGCGTCGGCGGTGGCGGCGGCGACGACCGACTGGCTTGTCGTGGCGGTGGTGGTGATGGTGCCGCTTGCGCGGGCGCCGCGAGCGGCCGGTTTGCCATCCACGTGGCGCGACTCTCGCACGATATGCTATTGCCGGTCAGCGGACGATGCGTTTCCCCTGTATTAACGTCGTCGTCATCGTACACAGAGCTCTGAAGCTCGCCGTCATCGCTACCGTCTTGGCATGACTTGCCCCCTCCACGCTCTGCGGACGCAAATGTCGTGATATCAGTTTTAGAAGCTACCGTTTTCGTTGGAGACTGCGACCAAGCTCTGCCACTGACCTCGCCAGGCACATTGTGCAGCTGGAGAGACGAACTTGCCAGACCCTTTTCCGGTGCGGGTGCGAGGAAGCTGTTCGGAGAAGCACTCCGGCCCGCGCCGAACGTGAGCCAACTAGTGCCGGGAGCGTAGCTGTCGTGTTCGAGCTTTCCGCCGTTGCGCGTCTCCTGCACGGGGGACTGTTGCGAGTGCGAGTGGTGGCAGTAGGGCATTGCCACCGGCGTGCCACGCCATGGATGCTCGGGCGTCATCGGGCTACCGCGCTGAGCGTGCATGGGCGAGTTGACAATGTCGTGCCCGAACGCCAGCGGGTTTTCCTCCAAGCTGCTGATCGACTCTCTGTGCTCCGCGTCTGAATTGCTACTGTGGTCGTCGGCAGCACTGGCCAGGGCCTGGCGAGACGGAACTGGTGGCGCGGGCGCGTCCCCCTGGAGGTGGATTGTCGCCGTGGCGACGGCAGCATGCGCGGAACTGACGTGCGGCACGTGATCGTCCGCAGAGTCCAGGCTGTCAATGGTGGGTGTCGGCGCCACGCTGGCACGATTCGGCTCCAGCAGCGCGGACGGATTCGTTGCGCGAGCGCCTCCTCCTCCAGCAGCCGCAGCAGCCGCCGCACCAAAGTGTATGAATTGTAACATATCCCTGGGTATGTGGTCGGGAATGTCGATATCGGCAGCCAGGCGAGACGGCGGCGAGTGCATATGCCTGCTGGCCTCGTCGTCCGATTCGTTGCCCGAGTTGTTGGTGTCGTTACCGTCGTCGTCATCGTCGTCGTCGTCATCCATGACTGTCGACAGGCTGATGCTGTGCGCCGCGCACCTACTCTCCAGATCCATGGGCGAGTCGGGCCGTGTCTGCACTCGTTCATCTGCACAGCATACACAGCAGCAGCAGCAAGAGCAGCCAAAAGGGCGGTAGCAGAATTTTTTCAATTCCTTGCTCTTCCTGCATTCATATCATCATTGGGTTGTGCGTTCAACAAAACACCTTTTAGTATTAGCAATAGTGGTAACAGCAGCAACAACAGCAGCACCAGCAGCAGCAGCAGCAACAGCGGCAGCAGCAGCAGCAGCAACAGCAGCACCAGCCGCACCAGCAGCAGCAACAGCAGCACCAGCCGCACCAGCAGCAGCAACAGCGGCAGCAGCAGCAGCAGCAGCAGCAGCAGCAACAGCGACAGCAGCAGCACCAGCAGCAGCAGCAACAGCGGCAGCAGCAGCAGCAACAGCGGCAGCAGCAGCAGCACCAACACCAACACCAACACCAACACCAACACCAACAACAACAACAACAACAACAACAACACCAACAACACCAACACCAACAACAACTACAACAACAACAACAACAACAACAACAACAGCAACAGCAACAGCAACAGCAACAACACCAACACCAACACCAACACCAACACCAACAACAGCAACAGCAACAGCAACAGCAACAGCAACAGCAACAGCAACAGCAACAGCAACAGCACCAACAGCACCAACAGCACCAACACCAACAACACCAACACCACCAACACCAACACCAACACCAACACCACCAACACCAACACCAACACCAACAACAGCAACAGCAACAGCAACAGCAACAGCAACAGCAACAGCAACAGCAAGAGCAAGAGCAAGAGCAAGAGCAAGAGCAAGAGCAAGAGCAAGAGCAAGAGCACCAACAGCACCAACAGCACCAACACCAACACCAACACCAACACCACCAACACCACCAACACCAACACCACCAACACCAACACCAACACCAACACCAACACCAACACCAGCAACAGCAACAGCAACAGCAACAGCAACAGCAACAGCAACAGCAACAGCAACAGCAACAGCACCAACAGCACCAACAGCACCAACAGCACCAACACCAACACCAACACCACCAACACCACCAACACCAACACCACCAACACCACCAACACCAACACCAACACCAACACCAACACCAACACCAACAACACCAACACCAACACCAGCAACAGCAACAGCAACAGCAACAGCAACAGCAACAGCAACAGCAACAGCGGCAGCAGCACCACCACCACCACCACCAGCAGCAGCAACAACAGCAGCATCAGCAACAACAACAACAACAACAACAACAACAACAACAACAACAACAACAACAACAACAACAACAACAACAACAACAACAACAACAACAACAACAACAACAACAACAACAACAACAACAACAACAACAACAACAACAACAACAACAACAACAACAACAACAACAATAGCAGCAGCAGCAGCAGCAGCAACACCAGCACCACCAGCACCAGCACCAATAAGACATATTTTAGCATTAGCAATAGTCACGGATACGGCACAGTACAGCACAGTACAGCACAGCACAGCACAGCACAGCACAGCACAGTACAGCACAGCACTGCACAGCACAGCACAGTACAGCACAGCACTACACAGCACAGCACAGCACTGCACAGCACAGCACAGCAAAGCTAAGCACAGCACAGCACAGCACAGCACTACACAGCACAGCACAGCACTGCACAGCACAGCACAGCACAGCACAGCAAAGCTAAGCACAGCACAGCACTGCACAGCACAGCACAGCACAGCACAGCACAGCACTACACAGCACAGCACAGCACAGCAAAGCTAAGCACAGTACAGCACAGCACAGCACAGCACTGCACAGCACAGCACAGCACAGCACAGCACAGCACAGCACTACACAGCACAGCACAGCACAGCACAGCACAGCACAGCACAGCACTGCACAGCACAGCACTGCACAGCACAGCACAGCACTACACAGCACAGCACAGCACAGCACAGCACAGCACAGCACAGCACAGCACTGTACAGCACAACACAGCACAGCACAGCACAGCACAGCACAGCACAGCACAGCACAGTACAGCACAGCACAGCACAGCACAGCACAGCACAGCACTACACAGCACAGCACAGCACAGCACAGCACAGCACAGCACTGCACAGCACAGCACAGCACAGCACAGCACAGCACAGCACAGCACAGCACAGCACAGCACAGCACAGAACAGCACTACACAGCACAGTACCGCACAGCACAGCACTGCACAGCACAGCACATCACAGCACAGCACAGCACAGCACAGCACAGCACAGCACAGCACAGCACAGCACAGCACAGCACAGCACAGCACAGCACTACACAGCACAGCAGAAAGAGCAACACATTCTCATGCCGACATGCTTACTGTACAAGGCCCAGAGAAGCAGATTGAGCTGATAGACCAGCTCCAGTGCCTTCAGCAGGCGCACTAGCTGATGCAACATGTCATTGTCGGTAGTGTGTCGCCACTCGAGCAGGAAGACGATCGCCTCCTGAGACGACGTGATGGTGGCCGGCTGGCCCGGCGGCGGAATCACCAGCATCGTGTCAAACTGATCCGCCCAGCTGTCGACGGTGGATGCACTGTAACCGGCTCTCCGCGCCACCTCCCTCCAGTTGGAGCATAGGACCGGCGCGACCATGTCGTGCAACAGGTCCTGCGAGAGAGGCAGCTTCCACGCACCTACAACACACGTGCATTGAACACAGACCAGATTTCCGCGACTAGGCGCCATCCATTATTATTAGGGCTGAAACGATTATACCAAATACTCGGTAAGCGATCGATAATTCCTTGACAATCGAGTAATCGTTACGTTATAGAGTACTCGTTAGGGATTTAGAGTCCAAAAAGTCCTGAAACCGCCGTCTTTGTAAAGTATTAATCAGTTTCCGCTGTCAGTATGCAGTTGCCAAGATGTGGTGCATGTTGTGCGTGTGTGTATGTGCATGTGTGTGTGTATGTGTATGTGCATGTGTGTGTGTGTGTTTGTACGTGCGTGCATGTGTGTATGCATGTGCTTGTTGTGCACATGTGCATGGGTGCGTACATGTACGTGTTCGTACACGTGAGCGTGTGTGTGCGCGCGAGTGTGACTCACTATTCTTGCAGAGCACGGAGTGACGGCAGAGTATGGCATGGGTTACGCCGCCACCACTGCCGTTGACTGGCTGAGACAAGCATCTCGACGCCTCTACTGCTGACGGTGACGCCAACGCCCCCGCGGTCTCCAACAGCGACGCATGCCTACCCTGCTGCTGGGGAATCTCCCACACCTTTCCGCACACCTCCGAGCATGCCTTCCTCAGCCGGCCATAAAGCGCTCGGTGGATGTCCTCGCTGGCCGGTTGGAAAGCATACTTGCAGGCAAAGCGTGTCGACTCGCTGGAAACGTCGGCGAATGCGGGGCCGGCGCGGCAGGTCGGGCACACATTCAGCCATAGGGTAGTGTCGTCGTCCTCGTTGCCAAAGGCCGTGATCACGTTGAACCGGATCACCTGTGTGTTGTGGTTGGTGTGTGTGTGGTGTGTGGGAGAGACAGAGAGAGAGAGAGAGAGAGAGAGAGAGAGATAGAGAGAGAGAGAGAGAGAGAGAGAGAGAGAGAGAGAGAGAGAGAGAGAGAGAGAGAGAGAGAGGGAGGGAGAGAGGGAAGGAGGGAGGGAGGGAGGGAGGGAGAGAGAGATTTAATATTTCCGGTATTTCCCAAAACCAACGGTTCGGTAGCGCGACAATTTCGGTAAACCAGTTTTCCAGAACCAACAATGCATTTAGCACACTGTGGGGCATGGCAATGTTGAATTTTATGTCGTTTTTTAGGTAAACACTACCTGTACCGATGTTACCGAAAATAGCATCTCCATCGAAGTTTTCCGGTTTAACCGTACTGTATCCGAGAGAGCTATGACTATTCGTTATTCTAAAGCGAACATTTGTCTTATCGTTGTTCTTCGTAACGAGGTTTTACTGCACCTGGTTGCCGGCGGGCTGGGCAAACAACCTACAGTTATAGACTGTGTGCATGATGACGCCATTGTGATGTCATTGTACTGATAGTGTGATGTCATCCGTACTCATTTTCACTATGCAGTCATCCTCTTTAATCCAGCACTTTATAAACCAGCTCTCTCTCTCTCTCTCTCTCTTTAAACCAGCACAATATTCTGTAGCAAAAAGTGTCCTTTTCATGCACACAATTGCAGCAGTAAATCAGGTGTTCTCTGCACTCATTTTCACCATGCAGTCATCCTCTTCAATCCAGCACTTTATAAACCAGAAACTAGCACATTTTCTGCAACAAAAATGTCCTCTTCATGCACGCAATTGCAGAAGAAAATCAGATTTTCTCATCGAGCACTCTCCCAAATCCAGCAGAATTCCCGTAGCATGAATGGTGGCGAAGTAGAGAGAGAGGGACCCACCGTACCTCCACCATGTTCATCGTGCTCGGGTGGATGATTCCGATGATGGTGTCCTCGCGTAGAGTCATCAGCGCTGGACCCCGGTACGGATTGCTGGTGCTCGCCGACTCGCTGGACACAGTCACGGGCAGGTACTCGTCTGAACGAGCACGGCGAATCAATGACAAACAAACAAGGCACGCACCCATACACACACATACACACACACACACACACACACACACACACACACACACACACACACACACACACACACACACACACACGCTATAAGCCCATTGCGCATCGCCCAAATATGGAAGGTATGAGTAATGCATGTGAGTACGCGGGAGATCAGCAATGCACTGCTCAGCACCCCACACACGACCATGCCCAGGTGGCCGTGTGGGGTGTTCGTGGTACAAATTACGTCATTGCGCAATGGGCTTATTATTAGACTTGGTGGTGCAGGAAGCGCAATTTTCAAAACCTTAAGAAGACGCTGGTTTGTGGTGCATGGACCTACTAGGATAACGTGTCTGTTAGCTAGGGTTGAAACGATTCTGCATTCTCAACCATCGATAACTCTTTAGTGTAGCTGCAATTGATTGTAATCGTTTCCAAACAGTGTAAAGTTTGCGTGCACGAATTCGGGTCACATAATGTGATGTTGGACATGTTTGTTCGACCCAATCCACACTTCACATATCCTACACAACTGCAGTGACAGGGCAGCAAACGCTAAACAGCTCTTGTTGACCTCATGATGCGACCAGAGTGTCCAAAGTCAGACACATAATTCTTCATCCTTTATTGACAGTCAAGCCATACGCATGGTTAGACTAGAAGCCAGGCAGATATGCCTCTGTATCTGATAAAGTAATAATAATAATAAAGTTACAGTTCGCATGTCACCCATTGTAGGATCCATGGGCTTAACGCATCCGCCAATGAAATCCAGTCAGAAGAGGCAACAACAGGAATGTCAATATTGTTAGAACCTATGGCAGGCGAAGTCAAATAAAGACAAAACAAACAAAAACAACAAACAACAACAAACAACAAATAAACAAACACTTACTTTGCGGCTGCAGCAGATAGCGTATCCAGCAGAACCACATCTCCAGGTCCTCGCTGCTTTCCGCCTCGAAGCAGGTGCGTTGCGGTTTGGGCTTGCGCCATGGTGCCAAGCGAGACAGGGTCTTGGAGCGGTGGGTTTGTGGCGATGTGTCCGCGGCTTGCTGCTCAATGCAGAGTGTGGGTACGCTGGTGCCCGGCAGTGAGGTGACGGTCTGGCCGCCTGCGCTGATGGTGGTACTCTCGCCGCTCACTGAGGTCAGGACTACGTAGGATATGGCAACGTCCACTGACGCTGTGTGTGGAGAGAGAGAGAGAGAGAGAGAGAGAGAGAGAGAGAGAGAGAGAGAGAGAGAGAGAGAGAGAAAGAAAGAGAGAGAGAGAGAGAGAGAGAGAGAGAGAGAGAGAGAAAGAGAGAGAAGAGGGGAGAGGGGTTTAGTGCTGTGCCAGGTTCAGAGATGGCTCCTCTGTGGTGCAACTCTGGATCCACCATTGTAATGGGACATCTCGCTTCAGACTGTGGTAAGAAGATTGGCCGGGGAATGGGCACATGAGCGGACGACTAGGCGGAAGTAGGAAGCGAGTGAACGAAAAAGTGACGGATTGAGTGAGCGAGTGAGTGACAGAGTGAGTGAGCGAGTGATTGAGCGAGTTACAGTGAGTTAGTGATCGAGAGAAGGTGAGGGTGTGGGAGTGCGGAATAGATTGACTCAGTAAACAGGGAAAGGGTACGGAACGGAACTTGAGCGATCTTCTGCGTAGAGTAGAACCTTGCTCTCCGATCATCTTACGAAACAGACCACCCCCACTAAACCGTTTACAATATACATACGTGACACCTGTCTAAGATGACCGCTCAAGGGACCTTCAAAACGTGGTCTCCGTTAACAGGTGATCGCCATAATGCAGAGTCATTTGACTGCAGACAGCATCCCTTGGTCCTGATTGCAGTGGTCTTCTGGGACAGGTGGTCGCCTTATCCGAGTGATAGCCATGACAGACTTTACCGTACTTCACTTTACTCATCAATCCGACCACTTTTACTCAAACTTGAATTTACCTCCCTAAGTGAGCACACAGGAAAGTTTTTTTTCTCCCATAAATCACCTTTATTTTTATTATTTTTATTATAGACAACACCTCATAGCATGAAAAGAAAATCAGCAAGTACGGGAGATGTGGATGTTAACCAACCATGGTGAATAAAATAATTAAAGAAGAAAAAGTATTTGGAAATTTGGGGTCAGAATTCTGACGTTCTGCTCTGTTAGAGAGAGTCTTTCAGGCAGCCACCGTTCTGATCCTTTGAGATCCTGGCCCGGAGCCAGGTCCTGAAGGTGATACGGCCCCCAGGTCGGGCTACAGGGCTGTTTCATTTCCCCGTGCCCAACTTCAGTACCACGGGAGCATGCATCTCAATCTCTCTAAGCATCACATCTGGTTGTTTCGGCCGTGCATTCCGCTAGCAACAGATAAACAGCCGACACATTAGTCCTTGCTTGACAAGAAGAACAGTTTAGAAGGGAGATGCTCTAGCGAGAAGTGTACACGGATAGCTTCATAGTACTGTCGCGGACATGGAAATCCAGTCGATTGAACGGGGCCGGCGCCCTCAGCGCATACAGAACGAGTTACGTAAGTCGTTGCATGCAGTGCTAGTGCACAATAATGTTGATCCTGGACCAGCAGCTAGCAGCACATACGTGCTACGGCTGCATGGCCAGCACTCTGTGGCCGCTAGACGTGCGACCGGATTTCCATGTCCACGACAGTACATGATTATGTACGTCCACATGGTCAAATTGCACGCTCAACATTCCATGGACGCTGGAATCGGAAATAATGTCCGGCCAAGGCCGTACTAGTGGCACCCAGCCCTGAGATCTGCCAAAGGGGAACTTTCCTATCCGTGAAAGACTGTAAGAACCAGGCGCGTAGCAACGCCGTTGGAGGTGATCCGGGGGGGGGGGGGGGTCTCCCGGGGCAGTTTTGAAATTGGCTTGCACAATCCTGCATTCTGAACACTTCTGGGCGAAAAGTGATCCGGCCAAAGCCGGACCCGCCCAACCGGCTGCTACGGCCCTGAGAACAATACGCCTATCGAACAGGCCAACATAAAAGACCACTCAGAGCAGCCAGCTGCAGACGTACCTCCGTTTGTGACGTGCGTAAGGAGGTAGTTCTGGAAGCCGGCACCGTCCTCGCTTGCTCCCTGACACACCGTGGACCAGAGCAACAACATACACACACACACACACACACACACACACACACACACACACACACGCGCGCGCGCGCACGCGCACACACGCACGCACACACGCATGCACACACACGCGCGCGCACGCGCACACGCACGCACGCACACACACACACACACACACACACACACGCATGCCCACACACACACGCATGCCCACACACACACACGCACGTGCACACACACGCAATCAAAAGCAGAATACACATAATCCAAACTAGAATACACACCAAAGTTGGGAGTTGGGTGATGGGGGGGGGGGGGGGGGGGGGGGTCTTAGATGAATTCTACTGGGTGATCATCTAACCTTTCGTTTCTTCTTGCTGGTGTTGGTGACAGGCCGTAGCGTTCCTGTGAAGACCGTCTTTCTAACCAGCACGTCGGCGTTGTTGCCCGATGACCAGCTGGAGCTTGACGTCAGCGGGTTGGTGCTGCTGCTGCCCTGGCTGCTGAGGTCCGCCGAAGCAGAGGTGCGAAGGCCGGTGGTGTTGGTGGTGGCGTTGGTGGATGCTGATGGTGACGAGTCCATGTTGCGTGCTAGTCAGCATCACCAGGGTATTCGCATACACGCACACACACAGACACGGACACCATTGGACCATTGGACCATTGGACGCCCATCGCCGGAGGCGATGATAGCGATGCTACAGCAGAAGCCATAGCAACTTGTGCTGGGATTGCACCATTCAACAGCTTGCAAGGCTGAAGAATTGGCCGCCACTATTCAGCCTGGTCTACACCACACAGCTATGAAGTGGCTTTTTCTGGCCAGTGAATCCCTACTTTTTGGTCTTTTTTATTTATTTTTTCCCGCACACACATCACACCACATACTCCGGCATGCACTGGCTGTTGGTAACCACCCAGGAGAATGAAAGAAAAGTCAGGAAGAGTCTGAGAAAGAGAAGAAAGACGTACACACGGACACACACACACACACACACACACGCACACACACATGCACACAGATACACACACACAGCCACACACACAGACAGACAGACACACACACACACACACAGGCATTTTCGCGTAAATCTTACTACTCTCTTGCCAATTTCGTGGAGATAGCGATACCACATGCCAGATCTCTGGCCCTTGCCCCTTGAAACGTTCGTGGTTCAGACGTTTTTTTCTTTCCTTTTTCTCTCTCTACAAAATCCACAAATCTCCAGACACTGGGGTGAATAATGGAGTGTTGTGGTGGGGCCCATTGAGCTCAGCCGACCGGAGGTCTCGGCTTCATAGCTCCATCAACGGACCGGGTAACGGCGTTTCAATGTTATGGGCAGTGCAGGGGCCCGGATTGCCCGGATAAGGGAGATATTCATAATCATTATTCACATAAGAGAGAGATTGGAAGCTCTGTCGCAACTCTGAGTTTCACGTATTACTACGGTCATCAGGCAACTGATGGCTCCAAAACGGGCAGCCTGAACATAAGGGGTAGCATTATTCACACATATCCGCCGGATGAGTGCGCGTGTCCCATGCAACATGGGGACCCACGAATACAATTCAGCATAATAGAGGTGTAGCAACCGGTCCGGCCTGTTCGGCTATGGCCCGACCACGTTTTCACCCGACCACAACCAGAATGCAGGAGTTTGAACCCTAATTTCAAAAATTTCCCGGGGAGACCCCCCCCCCCCCTCAACCCCACTCCGACCGGACCACCTCCAACACTGGTGCTAGGCGCCTGATAATTATATTCCCTCAGCAATACAAGCAAGCAAAGAAGAATGAGGACACAGGCAACGAAAATGAAGCGCAAGAGAGGGTTCATTTGATGTGGTTGCCGGTTATCTCGACTCTGCATGCTGAGCATCTGCTGGCAAAGTGAGAGTGATGAAGCATAGTTTTATGATATTGATGGACGGAGAAACCTGGTTCGCATTCAGGCCCTGAACCGGTCGGCCCAAGGCCCTGATCCTGCATGGCAAGTGCATGCAATGGCAATACTACCCATTGCTGTAGCAGCATCTGACCACATGTGCATGGACTTGTAATCCCGTTGTAGTAGCATCTCACCGCATGTGCATGCACTTGTAACCACGCTGTTGCAGCATCTCACCACATGTGCATGCACTTGTAACCACGCTGTTGCAGCATCTCACCGCATGTGCATGGATTTGTAACCACGCTGTTGCAGCATCTCACCGCATGTGCATGCACTTGTAACCACGCTGTTGCAGCATCTGCCCGGCGCATGAACTTGTATCCACGCTGTTGCAGCATCTGCCCGGCGCATGTGTATGGACTTGTAACACTGAGCAGCATCTGACCGCATGTACATGGACTTGTAACCAGGGGCGTCGGAAGGTATTTTAGTGTGGTAAGGTCAGCCACCTCAAGTCCAAGTTACTCGTGGGGGAGGGGTGGCTGAGCCGAACATTTTGGGAATTTAGAGCCCAAATCAGTGCATTATATTGATTTACGGGGTACTTGGTGCAAATAGTGGTACGGTCAATACAGTAGTGACCGTACCTTGTGCGACGCCCCCCTACTTGTAACACTGCCGTAGGGTCTGATCGCCTGTGGAAGCAGCTGCGGCACTGCACACCGGTGGTGCAGTGGCGGGTGCGACCGCTTCTGCATGCATTCATAACATACTATGCGTGACACTCGGGCAAGAGTGTGTGTGTGTGTGTGTGTGACATGCCTAGGTCACGCCTGGCGGACCCGAAACTGACCAATGTCACCATCTGCTCTGCTTTTGCTGGTACTGGAAAGTGGATCAATGGGAGCACCTCAAATGAGATCCGCACGATTAGCGCAACGCAGAGAGGCTGAGAAAACTGGGTTGCGTGATCGCATCCGCTTACGTGTGCATGGAGAGTGGTATTCACATCTTCTTTGTCATGTGATGGCCTTGTGTAGAACGTGATCATGGCATGTGATAGGTATGAACCATCTCCCTACAGCCAGGTGCATGTGCAGTACCGTAGTTCCGCGCATATAAGCCCATGGGCTAATATACGAAATAATGCATTTTCGGGGAAAAAGATCAGTAATAATGGTTCGTTTTTTAGCCCTGGGCCTATATTCGAATTTTGAAGGCAGCTGGCACGCGAAAAAGTACAAGTCCGTGCGCGGTTGTCTGCCTACCGCAGGTACCGGTACTGGTAATGTAGTCTGCACTGACATGCTGTACTATCGGGGTTTTTAACCCTCCACTTTCTTGTTTTCTGGCTCATCAACAAGAACAGCTCGTGCCGGTATTGTGAAAAATATACTTGACAAACGGGTCCGTAACGGTGTTTGGGTCTGTTTATTAGCCCATGGGCCTATAAACGGAGGTGGGCTTATATCCGGATATATGCCCGTGGTCTTATATGCGCGGAACTACGGTACATCTTATCTTATCTTTTTTTCTTTTTTCTTTCTTTTTTAAATGTTTTACTGCCAGAAGTCGTCTTCATAATAAATTATAAGGAGGCAGATATGCCTGTTTGTTGTACGTCTTTAAATAAATCCAACCAACCAACCAACCAGTACACCAGCACACCACGGCTACACACATAACACATTATCAACGTGGCATTACAGCCTCAGCAGAACTGATTATAACGAAGAAATGTCACTCGTTAAAAACGCATATAATCATCCGTTGAGATGCTCTGGCGAAGTCACGGACTAGCGGCGCAGCGCTGCACTAGCGACTCGCGCTACACACATAGCACCCATTGGAAGATCCGCTGACTCATCACGCTGCATACTTAGCACCCATTTGAAAATCTGCTCACGCATGCTGTACGCTTATCGCTGTGGCCCATGGCGGAGTTTTTGTTGTTGACATCACCTTTTTTTCGGAAACCATGACGTGCGTCGTACAGAGCACGCGCAGAGCAGTGTGAGAGCACGTGCCGGGCACCACCGACCTTCATCACAAGTTCGTGCTTTTCAGGTGTTTGTGCCAATTTCAAAGGTGAAACTCTCCCGCTCCCGAATGTTATCCGTGCACGGGTTTTTTGCCGAGGTCAAAAGTATGTGCGCCATCTTCCAGACTTGGCTTGAACATGATGTTCAACCAAGCAAGACTGGATGATTGTGCCGAAGCGGTCTCAACATTGAGGTTCGTGCTCAACTCTGCCAACATTTCGCCTACGCTTTTCCAATCGTGGACAGCAACCTGCTGGTGGCTGATGAGGACTTTGCTGCAGGGGCCGAATTTTCTGCAATCTTTTTTGATCACCAAGAGCCACAACAATTCATCCTTCCACAGAGAAATCCATCTCCGCAAATAGCCTGCCAGAGACTACGATGGTGCGAAATAGGAGGAGAAATGGGATCAACCAAAGATTGAGAAATGCAAAGGGGGCTGAAAGGACAAGGCCCTAGTCCTTGTCTCTTTTGTCCTTCGCTTGAGAAACAGAACAAGAAGACAAAACGACGAGCTGAATCCACAAGGTCAAAAGCACGACGACGGTTTGAGTTCAAAGGCTCATGCGCTGGATGTAATTTTCCGATTGGCCCCAGATGTGAAAACCAGAGCCTGTGAATTCATCAGGTAAATCGGCAAATCCAGCAGATGCATATATCGGCCAAGTGCACGTGTCAAAAGGCTCGCAGCGCGTGCCTCGTACGGTATGACTCATGATTTCCAGAAAAGATTACGTCAACAAAAATAAAAATTTCCGCAGTGGGCCAAACCATCCGGAGTTGCACACTCTTGTTTGTGTATTCTTGTTGGCGCCCAGTAGAAAACAAGAATAATTTTTTTTAGCTCCGTAGTTTCTGGTGGTGTTGGCAGTTTCTAGCTGTCCTGGACGGCTTGGGGTGGCCTAAGGTTACCCCAGCCGTCCAGGAGAGTGTACTGAGGTAGAGGACTCAACAGGAGACTTGGTCGGATACTTTCTGATGCCAACACTCTCCTCGTTGTTCTTCTAAAATTTCTCAGATGCCCCCGCGAGGTGTTATAAACCCGCGGGTGGCGACAACTACCGCACAAGGACGACGGCAGCGGGAACAGGTTTCGAGTATTGGTACGTGGTGTGTGTGTGTGTGTGTGTGTGTGTGTGTGTGTGTGTGTGTGTGTGTGTGTGTGTGTGTGTGTGTGTGTGTGTTGTGTGTATGTGTGTGTGTGTGTGCGTGCGTGCGCTGATCAGTGTCCTAATACTCCATACTAGATGTGTACACGGTTTGTGACTAAGATCACCATAACTGTATACTTTGGATTTTTAGTATTCATTGGTTTGAGGGAAAGTCCGAAGAAACCATCGACTGTCACCACCAGGACTCGAACCAGGGACCTTCGCTGGAGGCCAGCCATGCTCTACCCACTGAGCTATGGTGTACATTTTTGATAAAAGTATACAGAACAGCAAGGACAACCAAGGCTCGTTTGCTGCTACTTCAAGTTTCTTGCTCTCGCAATCATCAGGCCACAGGATGCCTGATGGTTGCGAGAGCAGGAAACTTGAAGTAGCAGCAAACAAGCCTTGATTGTCCTTGTTGTTGTGTATTACGCTCTGACTCTGCGGTGTTGAGCACTGTCAGCACACTGGGTACATCCTCCGGTGATAAAGAAATAAAATAAAATGCTTGCAACAGCCACAGGCAAAACTTTCAGAACCAGGCTTACCGGAGCAGACCAGTCTCCCGGCCTCAAGCGGCCCTCACACGCCGGGTCGGGACTGCGCCAGCGACGAACGCAGCTTGCAAGCTAGTCTAGGTCGATGCGAACGGCTCCCGCTGCCGGCGTCTGTCCGCCATTACTCCCGGCCCTCGAACGGTGCCTGCCCAGGCTGCACTAGGGTGTGTGTCCCTCTCAGTTTCTCCCGCTAGCAGTCAGACGGGTGCTCCGCTGACATCGACAGCGCGTCCAAGGTTCGACAGTACACGCTGCACTGCAGTGCTTTTCTCCCGTTTTGAGCGGTCAGCGACCAAGACACGAGAATTATCATGTCCGACTCCGAACCTCGCATTTATTATTGCCAAGCCGCAAAACAACCACGGCTAGATCGCGTCAATTGCCAGGCTATTTGTTGAACGTGAACACCAGCTAGCTTGGCGCTATATCACTCTGACCTCAAAGAGTATCGGCCGTGCTTCCATCGGGCAAGCCTCTCCCTGCAAAGAGGAACTGTATCAGTTTCCAGCAATCCGCGTTGCTTCCAGAGGTGGTTGTGTCTATTCAAAACACGAACCAGCACAGCAACTGCTTCGTACGCGTATGCAGCTATGCCTGCACGCAAAACAAAAGCCCGGTCGGAGCCTGGCAAAGGACGTGCAGCTGAAGGAAGCCGCCGCTACTAGGATCAGAGAGGACGAGTCGAAGTCAGCTGCACAGTATGTGCGAGTGAGTGCAATACAGTACCTCAGGCTCAGGTCGCTTGACTTCCGAGTCAGATTGCTGTGTCTGCCGCTCACATAATCATTGTCAGCGACTCTCGCAGCTACCTGGAGCGAGTGGAAGGCCTCCAGCCTTGTCCAGGCTCCCCTCTCTCTCACTCGCGATCGTGCGCTGTTGTACGTTTCCGCTAAAAAAATCTCGAAGACACCAGTGCCCGCGGATGCCTACGGTTGGAAACGGAACACCAACCTCTTCTGGCTGCGCGCCGCCACAGATCTTCCCGCAAGGGTCGGCTGTGTGATTTCCTTAGTCTTAGAGCGGCTGATTTTGGGGTTTACTTCAGGCTTTTCGATCCCGGCTCTGTCGAAACTGGCGATACGGAGGAGTTTTCTAGTCAAATCTCTCGAGATCAGCGAAAAATGGGTAGAAATTAACTGTTCGCCATAGTAAACCCAAGTCTGAAATTGTTCCGGAACACCCGCTTTCGCGTCCTCAACGTTTCGTCGTTGTGCGAGCGGGGACATACCCACCGTAACCTCCTAACACTAGTCGACATCTTCCTTTCTGCACTTTTCCTCTCTGCGCTATACAAAAAACGCTTTCTATCTCTCAACTGAATATAAATATCTGGCGCATGTTTCATTCATGGACTCGGGTGGAGAGCCAAGGATAAATTTATAGAAACGAAAAAGGACCAAGGAATTTGAAGGAATTACAAGTTATTTGCAAAGTGAGTACGATGGAGATGGTTGGCAGTTTGGGAGCTCCTGCTCCGGCCTCCTTTTCTTTTAGGATTGAGAAGGACTGGTCTGCAGACCACTTGTTTTACGCCAAGGCGCTCAAGCAGAGTAAGGTAGATATAAGTCAGGTCTGCCAGGTGGACCTTCAGGGCAAGCCTGGACATTGCGTAGTTACAGTGAACAGTTCTGCTGAGCGGGAAAAGATACTGGACGCAGGAATCCGGATTTCCGGTAAGCAGGTGCTCTGCGAGATTTCCGGGGTGGACTTAACCCATCTGCATGTGTTTGGGTGCCCTGTCGGGCTTCAAAACAGTAAATTGTGTGCTGCGCTGGGCCAATTCGGCCGAATTGTTGGGTCGCCTCAACAGAAAAAAGTATTGTTTGAGGGATTGGAAATAAGTACTGGCACCCGTGTTCTCAGCCTGGTCCTCCGATCACCAGTTCCATCTACGGTTACCGTAGGTCAGTTGAAACTGCGAGTATGGCACCGTAGCCAACAGCAAACATGTTGGCGCTGCAACAACAGTGGCCACGAGGCTAAAGCATGTCCCAACCGTGGGGCACAGTCTACAGCTTCCCGGCCTCCTCAAACGCAGCACCGCAACACAACCGGTACGAGTACAAACCCTCCCAGCGCCAGCGTCAGTACAGCCACTAATACGGGTACGGTGACTACCCAGCCCGCAGAAGCCGCTGCAGAGCCAGCTGTCGTCAGTGTGGAGACGGGTGCAGCTAGCAACGCAGGGCTGAACACTGCCTCAGTCAACAGCTATCGCCAGGCACTTTTAGCCAATGGGACCAGCACTGGCACCACTGAACCAGTAACCATGTGCCGGCTTTCAGCCAACCTGGAGACAAAGAAAAGAGCAGCGGGACAACCCCCTCTCCTGATGAAGAAGGCTTCAGATGTGCAGCAGGCAAACACACCTTCTCCGCCACTGTCCTATCCGGGCGCACTGAACCACCTGCCTCTGCCTTGAACGACCCGCAAATTGCGTGGGCTAAGGAGTATTCAAACCGTGAGCGCAAGAAGCTGGCAGAGAGAGTTGAAGCTGCCCGCAGAGGAAGCCACTGAGTAAGTACTCGTTGAAAACTGTCCACATTCTATGAACCCAGCCCATCTATTGCTCTATTTGTATAATTATACCGTTTTCTTCTGTAAATTATCTCCTCCTGAACACTCATGCCGCTGAACCCTCTTGCCAAACCCTTCTCCCCTAGGAATCCTGCCACTCCGCATGCACAGTCACCTTCAGTACACCCTCCACCTACCCAGACCGCTGCGCCTCTCAAGATCGGCGCCCTAAACATATGTAGCCTACGGTACAAGCGTGCAGAAGTAGCTGCCCTCATCCGCGACCGCAGCTACGATGTCTTGGGTATCTCGGAGACGTGGCTGAGTCCCGAAATTGCAGACGGAGAACTTAGTATCCATGGTTACAATTTACACCGTAATGACAGGCACGGCCGGATGGGTGGTGGGGTCTGCTTTTATTACCACCAAGACCTTCCTATTCGAGCCCGTCCTGACCTTCATTCCGACAAGATCGAGTCTGCTTGGTTGGAAATAAAAGGTCCGCTTGGCTGCCACTTGATTGGTTGTATCTACCGTCCCCCCGGGGAATCAGTATCTTACTGGACAGACCTAGAAGCGGTGATCCTGCGTGCCAAGCTGCAATCGGCCTCCATTACAATGGTTGGTGACTTCAACGTCAACATGGACCCAAAACAGCCTGGTCCCCAGCATCACTATCTCAGTGACCTCTGTGCCGCCTATGGCCTCAAGAACATCGTTAGAGAACCCACTCGTGAAACTCCCCGCTGTCCGAATGGTACTATAATTGATCTCATTCTGGCTGACCCTACCCATGCAACTGTAGCTACTGTCGTACCTCTTGATATCAGTGATCACAGTGCCGTGGAGTGCAATATCCAGGTCGATGTTCCCCGGACTACACGGCAGGCCCCAAGGCACATGCGAAGAATCCATAAGATAGACAGTACCGCGTTCCGTCATGATATCTGTGAGGCCAACCTACATGACTTTTCTGACTTCAATGATGTAAATATCATGTGGAGAGAATGGCATGCCAAGTTTATGCACGTTATGGATAAGCATGCCCCCCTATGCAACTCAAAGCCTCCCAGACAGTCCACACCACGGTGGGTAGACGCAGAACTACACAGGCTAATGCAGCGAAAACGTCGCATTCATAAACGTTGGAGACAGGACAAAACGAATGGAAATCTTTACACTGAGTTCAAACGAGCACGTAGCATTGCTCGTAACGCTTCTCGGCAAAAGAAAAATGCATACTTCGCCACCCAGTGCAAAGAGAATGCTGGTAACCCAAGAAAGTCCTGGGAAATTCTCAATGCCGTAACAGGGCGCTCACGGTGCCGTCAGGATCCGTGCTGCGACGTCCATGAGATCAGCAACACGTTCCACTCTATTGTTACAGACACAAACCGACCCGACCATCTCGGCGTTCCGTGTGGCCCCAACGGGCCTGTCTCCCTAACCGAGTTCTCCCCTGTAACTCCATCGGACGTTCAACGTCTCCTTCAGCAGGTAGATGCTCGCAAAGCTACGGGAAGTGACGGCATACCGGGTTCGCTATTGCGGCAGTGTTCCGATTTATTGGCATACTCTTTAGCAGTACTGTTTTGCACTTCCCTCCGCACTGGCACGGTTCCTTTGGCGTTCAAGCTGGCGACCGTTGTACCGCTTTACAAGACCGGGGACCCATCAGTCCCCACCAATTATCGCCCTGTTTCCCTCCTTCCAGTTGTCTCAAAGCTGTTGGAGAGAGTGGTGCAGCGTCAGCTAGTTCGCCATCTAGACTTGAGTAATGCCCTACCTGATTCTCAGTTTGCTTTCAGGAAGAAGTGCTCCACTGAGGATGCCCTCTGTGTTCTCACGGACAGCTTGCAGAAGGCGAAGGACAGTGGTCTGGTAACAGGGCTGTGCCTCCTCGACATGTCCAAGGCTTTTGACAAAGTCCGGCATGGTATCCTCATCCAAGACCTTTTTGACGTTGGTATCTCTGGTGTCGCCCTGAAGTGGTTCGCGAATTACCTGACAGATCGCAGGCAGCAAGTTACAGTCGCTTCGGCCACAAGTCGTGCTCTTGACTGCACGTGTGGTGTGCCCCAAGGCTCCGTCTTGGGGCCTGTTCTCTTTAACGTCTACACCCGTGATGTGAAATTGGTCTCATCGCCAATACCCAGCGTGCAATTCGCAGACGACATTGCTCTGTACGATTCAAAAGCTTCCGCTGGGGAAGTCTCCAAATCCGTCTCTTCAGCTGTTACTGATCTCGCCATATGGCTTAAGTCACGCGGCCTAATTTTAAATGCCTCCAAAAGCCAGGTAATGACTATCTCACCGCAACATGCCGGGCCTGAGGTCTCTATCGTGTGCTGCGATACCTCTCTACCGATAGTGAAGTCTGCGCGGTATCTTGGTGTCTTTCTTGACAACCGCCTGAGTTGGGATGTACACGTCAGCGCCATAGTGACCAAAGTTGCAAGGAAGATAGGCGCCTTGTGGCGAGCCCGTCGATGCCTCTCCCGCAGCTCGCGCAAGATATATGTAAAGGCTATTGTCATGCCGGATATGATATATGGTGCCTGCAGCTTCTCTGCAGCCCTCCGCGTGACCCAACTTCAGCGTCTGCAAGCCATGCAAAACCGGGCGATCCGATGCATTGATGGCAGCCCGCCATGTTCCGCGATGCAGCCCCTCCTGGCTGCCAACTCGATTTACCGCGTCACTGAACTTGTTAAACAAAAGCTCCTGATCTTCATCTGGCGTTGTCTAAATGACTCCACTAGCCTTGCTCTAGCCCAGCTTCTCAAACCAGCAGCATGCAGCGGCAGAAGTACGCGCCATCAGCATGCCAATGGTCTGCTCAGCCAGCCAGCTCGCAGTCGGTGTGGCCAAACGAGATTCGCCACCGCAGGAGCATTGCTTTGGAACAGTTTGCCTAGAGAGGTGCGCACCGTATCCAGATTGCAAGATTTTAAGCTAGCCTGCCTTCCTTATGTATGCCTGAAATAGGTTGTGCTTCGTCAGGCTTTGACATGTTCCTTTCTTCTCAGTATTCTCGCTCGCATAGTACTCCACTTCTATGATAATATTGCCTATGCTGTTGCTCATTAGGATTTTGGCAAATTC